GTAAAGATTCTACAAAAAAAAAAAAAAGTTCAAAATAAGTGAAGCTCCTAGCAAAGGCATGCAATTTGGGGGCAAATTGAGAATTTGAGCTTTTAACGACCATTCTTTCAATAACCATACCCCAAACCACGTTACAACCCAAAGCAAAAGTCCCGTTTGAAGGTTTTGAAACTTTAGATGTTTTGATGATTACAATCACTAGGTCAAAGATAGCATGGGGGGCATTTTGAGCTTAATATTCTTTCTTTCAAATTAACCAAGCCAATGACCATGTTACAAGCCGAATAAAGCCCTTATCAGAGTATCTCAAAGTTTTTGAAATTCCAATGTGGTTTGAGTGATAAAAATATATGATTGTCTTAAAAAGCTAGGGGCAAAATTGAGGAATTTGAAGCTGAGCCATTCAAATGATTCAATGATCCATGAGTTGAAGATATCATCTTTATATTTTATGAAAGAAATGATTGTAATTTGTTGAGATAGCAAGGACAAGATTCTTTTTCTCTGTCAAGAATTTCAGATCTTTCATCTTTTTTCAAGAATTCCGTACATTTCATCCTAATCATGTCATCCATTCATATTAAATTCCTCATAATAAGCGCCAATTTAGTCTCTCTTTGGTCATATCACCACGTCCTCACTCGACATATCATTCATATAGAGTTTCCTCGTCAACAAAAAGAAATAACTTTTGTTTTGTTCATGCTACTCATAAAGAAAGTAGAGAAAGCTCATATAGAGTCAAAGCAACAAGAATCCCAAGAGAGTGAACTTAATTGTTGTCATGCATGATCATTTTGAGCAGTTGAGATATGATGTATTCAAAAAATCTAGCTTTTGTTTGTGATATAATTGAGTCAATTATAGATGCGAATATGCAATACAAACTTCAAACTGAGGGGCAATTACAAACCCAAGCTAAATTCTTTTTCCAAAAGATCTGCATCTCAAGATCACAAGGTAAAACCATTTTCAAAATCTTTCATGGCAATTTCAAAAGTATCTTTATCAAAGGCAATTTCTTAAGTTGTTTTTGAAAACAATTTCTTAGCTCATTTTAAAGATCATTTCTCTTGAACATTACATTTCTTTCTTACCAACATTACATTTCATCAGCCCAACATGCGGCATTGCATTTCATTTAGCCCAACACGCGGCTTGGATCTCATTTAGCCCAACATGCGGCTAGCATTTCATTCTTGCTCAACATGCGGCATTGCATATCATTTAGCCCAACACGCGGCTTGCACTTCATTCAGCTCAACATGTGGCTAGCATTTCATTCATGCCCAACATGCGGCATTGCATATCATTTAACCCAACACGCGGCTTGCATTTCATTTAGCCTAACATGTGGCTAGCATTTCATTCATGCCCAACGTGTGGCATTGCATCTCATTTAGCCCAAAATACGGCTTGCATCTGATTTAACCCAACATGCGGCTAGCATCTCATTTATGCCCAACATGCGGCATTGCATATCATTCAACCCAACATGCGGCTTTACATATCATTTAGCCCAACACGCGGCTTGCATTTCATTTAGCCCAACATGCGGCTAGCATTTCATTCATGCTCAACATGTGGCATTGCATATCATTTAGCCCAACACGTGGCTTTGCAAATCATTCAGCCCAACATGCGGCTTTGCACATCATTCAGCCCAACATGCGGCTTTACATTTCATTTGACCCAACATGCGGCTTAGCATTTCATTCATCCCCAACATGCAACATTCCATATCATTCAACCCAACACGCGGCTTGCATCTCATTTAACCTAACATGCAATTAGCATTTCATTCATGCCCAACATGTGCCATTGCATTTCATTTAGCCCAACACGCAACTTGCATCTCATTTAGCCCAACATGCAGCTAGCATTTCATTCATGTCCAACATGCGGCATTGCATTTCATTAGCCCAACACGCGGCTTACATCTCATTTAGCCCAACATGTGGTTAGCATTTCATTCATGCCCAACATGCGGCATTGCATTTCATATAACTCAACACGCAGCTTGTATCTCATTTAGCCCAAAATGTGGCTAGCATTTCATTCATGCCCAACATGCGGCATTCCATATCATTCAGCCCAACACATAGCTAGCATTTCACTCATGCCCAACATGCGACATTGCATTTCATTCATGCCCAATACGCGACTTGCATTTCATTAGCCCAACACGCGGCTTGCATTTCATTCATGCCCAACATGTGACTAGCATTTCATTTATGCCCAACATGTGGCATTGCATTTCATTAGCCCAACACGCGGCTTGCATTTCATTCATGCCCAACATGTAACTAGCATTTCATTTATGCCCAACATGTAGCATTGCATATCATTTAGCCCAACACGTGGCTTGCATCTCATTTAGCCCAACATGCGGCTAGCATTTCATTCATGCCTAACATGTGGCATTACATATCATTCAGCCTAACACGTGGCTTGCATTTCATTAGCCTAACACGTGGCTTGCATTTCATTCATGCCCAACATGCGGCATTACATTTCATTTAACCCAACAGACGGCTTGCATCTCATTTAGCCCAACATACAACTAGCATCTCATTTAGCCCAACATGCGGTTAGCATTTTATTCATGCCAACATGCGGCATTGCATTTCATTAGCCCAACATGTGGCTTGCATGTCATTTAACCCAACATGCGGCTTGTATATCATTCTGCCTAACACGCGGCTTTGCATCTCATTTTGCCCAACATGTGGCTTTTCATTGCATTCTTGCCCAACAAATGACTCTTTTTCATTCTCATCTGCTTGACATCACATTTCTTTACATTTCATATTATCATTTCTTTCTTTATTTCCAGTTGCACAAAAATCAAGCTTATACAAGTCAAATCTCTCATTATTTTATCTTTCTCTTCATGTTTTAGTTAAAATTGGGTTATTCTTTTATCTTTACTTTTCTTTTCTAACGAAAAAAAAAAAGGTAAAGAGGGGGCAACTGTCATAACCCGATTTTTCAGTTAGCTTATTTGGATTTTTCATTAAAAAAAACATATATATATATCAATCACAAAATTAATCAAAAAAGTCAAAAAAAAGCACAAAAATATGAAAATATGAATCTTCTCGTTCCTTTAACTAATATATCTTCATTTTCTTTCAGGTGCTACATGCAAAAAGAAGAAACTCAAGAAGAAAATGAAGAAAAGAAAATCGAGAAAGGACTCATTTGAAGGAAACAAAAGTTTGAGGGTGAAATTCATCAAATTTGCAAACTCAACACCAACCCATTTCAATTAAGCCTACTAAACTATCCAAACCCAAAACTCAAAACCCAAAAACCCAAGCCCACCATTACCCAAAAATCACAAAAACAAAAAAACCAAGACCCAAACCCAAAAAAAATCACAAAAACCCAAACCCCCCACAAAAAAAAAAGAGTTAAAATCTTTTTGCTCTCCAGAATCTTCTCTTCCCGAACCAGCTTGCTCCCCAAACCTGCTGCCTGTGCCCCTGCTTGCTGCGCCGACCCTACTGCTGCGCCCCTTGCCGCCGGTGCCCCTACTTGCTGCATCAAGCCTGCACACCTGCGCCCCTACACCATGTGCCCTAGCACCCTGCTGCCGCACCTCCTGCTTGCTGTACTCTACTGCTAAGGTCCTGCTTCTGCACTGTCACACCCCTGCCCCTGTAGCCCGTTCTGCACCTGCTCTGTCACTCCAAGAGCCCTGTACAAAAGACAAAGAAACAAAAAAAAAAAGGCTTTCGGTCCTTTGCTTTCCAGCCTACAAAAATCAGCAACTGTCCAGAGGCTAAATGGGTTCAATTTTGGCGTTTTAAGGATCAAGGGTGGAGAAGAAAAGGGCTGGATCAGAAGGCTATGGATAGATCTAGGTTCTTTTTTTTTTTTCCCTTTGCCTTTTACTTTTGGTATAAATAAGGGTTCAAAGGTTAGTGAAAAGAGGGGGGAGTTTTCGGAAAGAGGCGTTTTCTGCTGGGTGACAACGGCTGGAGGAGGACACATTGTTGAGTTTCAAGAAGTGTGCCCTTTTCTGGATTTGTTTCTGTAGGTAATTTTCTCATCAGAAGAGGTTCTTGAGAAAGGTGGTGAGGGAGAGGGTTGGAGCTTTATCCCGTGGGTGGGATCCCTCCCCCCGATTCTGATCTGTCTTCTTCAAAAACCTTCGCCATGCTTGTTTTTATTTTTTGGGTTTTCTTGACGTGCTGTAAGTGTATTTGAGAGTAACATTGTGAATGAAAAATCACAAAAAATTGTCTAGTTCATTTTGTCTGATGAATATGCCTTTTTTTTCCTATTGAATGTGGTTTTTTATGATGAACGTGTTCTTTCTTTTGAAAAAGATGAACCCTAATTGCAAGTTTCATTTTTTTTTTGTTTGATCTGTTTTTGTTTATTTTGAATAGTGTACTATGTTTTTAGATTGGATCAATCAGGCCCAATCGAATAGATTCATATATATATATATATGGTAAAGTGCCCATCAGTCCTACATCAAAAAAAAAAAAAATTGGAGTCCCAACCAAAATAGGGTCGTTCTCTTAATTCCAGCCTCGCCTCTTTGCCTCTCCTGCAATCATCTCCACTTGATTCCTTCAATTTTTCACACAATTGCATAAGTTAAAGAAGTAACCCTTGCAATTCATCATCTCTGTTGATGGTAACCCCTGCTTCTTTGAACGACGGTAAGTGCTTTGTTTTCTTACTAAGCTCTATCTACCCAAAAAAGTCAGAAAAAATCTTACTCCTAAATTATCTTTGATTACAGGAATTAAGATGAATTCTTCTCCAATTTCACAACAAATATCTCAAGATAAAATTGATGAGAACAACTGCTCAATTTTGCAAGCAGTGAATGACGACAATGATACCTTCTTAACTGTACAAGTGAATGATCTTGAGGGATTAGAAGAGATTTCTATTAGTACTGCTATGGAAATTGAAGGACCCAAAATGTTGGGTGAAGATGACATTATTGGTGGGATGTTGTACTTTGTGAAGCTATACTTTATGAAGCTGTACATTGTGAAATTTATAAAAGTTTGCAATGCACTTATATAAGTTCTCTTAATTATTTGTAATGTCTTATAGAAGTTTTTCATTTTAGATTTTCTACAAAGATTTGTGCAAAATTTGTTGATTGCAGTGGAAATTTATTTTGTACATAAAAGGGCAATTGCCCACTTTATTGCATATAACCAATTTACATTGTACAGTACAAAATTTTGTATGTGAGCTTACAAGTCATATTTTGTCATAATAAAGCCAAAAAAAACATGAAAAAGAAAAAGCCACAAACAAGCTAAGGCTAAATTTGCAGAATGTCATGTTTTTTTTGGCCTTTTTGCTATATGCCTTGTTCAACTCATTCTTCACAACATTCTCCACTATGAAGGAAACTATCTTCTCAAAGCATCAACAACCTCATCCTTTAATTGTTCAACCTCATCATTGAAAGAGACCTCTTGAGACCTCACATTTGCTAAGTTGGCTCCTCAATAGCTATAAAGGCAAAAGATAACTTCATTTGCCCTCTGCTGCCATGCCATTCAATTTGTTAAAATTTGACTTGTCATAACAAAAGAACTTTCTTTCACCTACTTGAATTTTTCCTAAGCATTAACCTTGTCCAAATAACACAACAAGCAAAAATATTTCCATCTGACTTGACCAAAGCATTAATAAACCAAAGAGTGATTGATTCTTTCCTATTCCAAAAAGAAATGATTCTCAGATACAAAAATACAATCTTCAAATTAAAACCATAAAGGTAGGCCTAAATTCTGGAACAAATAAATTCTAATAGCATAGGTACCAATCTGAAAAACTCCAAAGCTAGGCCTTTAGGGGGCACCAAGGAAAACAGTACTAAATTCTAATAGCATAAAGCAGTTCTAAAGGAAGCAGTGTGACAACACCATTAATACTACAGTCACCTGCATGCTCCAATCCTCAAAATACTAGTATTTTATAGCATGAACAAATAATTCACATAATTTACAAGGCACCAATTTAAGAATTTTATCATCAAATAGTTAAGAAAAGATGGCTCTGGCTACCAAATTTAATTGAATAAACAAACAATTCCTAAAAGCAACCTTCTCTTTTCTAGATTCGACAAGAAATTGGAGTAATAAAATAAAAGTACTTTCTATCCCTGTTGCTGCCGGAGAACAAAAAAGGGTAAATCATTGAATTTCAGAAGGTCGTTTCCTTCGATTCCTTTTTTGCTACCATCGATGGCGTGATTGTATTTAAAAAATTCAAGGGACTGATGATTAAAAAGAGACCCAACAAAAAAAGATAGAGATTTTTTCAATTTTTTTTGGGTAGATAGAGCTTACCGTCCCTTGATCCCTTCTCTTTGACGGAGATGATGAATTGCAGCTGTAGAATCGACGGAGATGATGAATTGCAACAACATAATGGGGTTAAAGTAGTGGGTGTTGGAGATTAAATCGCTGGCGTGGGATTGCATTTGAAAAATTGGAGAAATTGGAGGAATCGATGGAGATGGAGATGATTGCAGAAGAAGTGAAAAAAAACAGGGGTTACCATCGATGGAGAAGATGAATTGCAGTGGAATCGAAGGATTCAGAGGAGTCGATGGAGATGAAAGGCGATGGAGAAGGAATTGGAGATAGAGATGGAGATGATTGCAGAAGAGGCAAAGGCAAAGGCAAAGGCAAAGAGGAGGGGCTGGAATTAAGAGAACGACGCCATTTTGGTTGGGACTCCAATTTTTTTTGGGAGGTAGGACTGATGTGTAGTTTACCGATATATATATATATATAACTAAAAAAGATTAAAAAAAAAAACTAAAAAAAGTAAAAAAGGGTAAAAATATATATGAATAAAATTATTAATTAATTAATTGAGTTAACTTAATTTATGATTAATGAAATTGATTAATTTTAATTAAAATAAATTAATTATTTTTATTGAATTTGATTTGAGATGATTAGATTTATTTAATCATTTTAATTAGAGATCAATAGATGTGATTAATTAATTTTAATTAATGTTAATTAACTTCAAATTAATCATTCAATTAGGTTAATTATCATGATTAATTAATTTTAATTCTCAAATTAACTTTAATCTTGGTCAAAGTCAAAAATATCTTTCTTCATTTCAATTTCACCCAAAACTTTTATAATTAAGCAATTTAGTCCATGGTCTCAACTCTTTTCAAATCAGTCCTCCATGTTTTGAATCAAATCAAATCATTCCATTTAACTTTTTGTTTGTGGTTGTGGTGCATGCATGTTCTTGATTTTGTCTATTTTAGTTTGAAAAATTTTTAAATGTTACAATTTGGTTTATCTCTTTTTCAAACTTGTTTATAAAGACGTAAATATAAATATAATGGATAAGTTGAATTAAAACGGAGAATTGTGAGGTGCGCGCATGCCCTCCTCTCTCCTAATTGAACCCTCAACCTCGATCTCTGTGCAAATCCGTTTTAAGGTGACTTGTCCCACCTTATAATTTGGACGAGTGGTGACTCCCTTTTTTATATTTTTACATTTAATTTTTCATTATTTTGAAATCTTAAGTGGTTGTTAACAAATAGTAGTGATGAAAAAATAAAAAATATTATATAGTCTATTTAGTAGTAAGTAGTTTTTTTAAATTATTATAAAATAAATGTTTAATAAATTTATTTATTTTAAAATAATTAGAAATTAAGTATTTAATAAACATTTTTATTTATTGTTTGAGAATAATATATAGCAGTTAGAATCTACACTACTATTAATTGAAAAGGATACTTTAAGTAGCTTTTTATATTAAACTACTGGTAAATTAAATTTTTTTAATTTT